AGCGTGTTCAATACTTTTTCCCTGTGCCATTCCACATTATTACAAATAACTTCATTTCTGGACATTGGTATGGATCACTTGGGTTGTTACCAACATCTGGTGAAAATTTCATGTCATTAGCACCTCTAGTAATATATTTACTGAGAAAAATGGTGACGTGTTCAATACTTATTTTATCCGCTGTATATATGTGTAAAAAAAGGGGTGCAACGATACAGAAAATTAACGGTTCGGTTCGATACTTTAGTCTCACGGTTCGATATTTTTTTGATACAAAAAAAAAGAGAAATTTCCATGCCCTTTTTAACTTGTAATTTATTGAAATTATGAACATTTGTTTAACCTCAAAAGTACCATGTTTAAATTAAATTTAAGATTAAATTTTGCTGAAACAGCAAGTTTCTCAGTGGATCTGTGCTCGAAAATACAGCCTAGATGGAGTCACAGAGCATCTTCAGAAAGACAAGTTCATAAAATAATTTTAAAAAATCTGCATTGTTCGATACAAGTGTGTATGTATGTATGTATATATATATATATACACACACACACACACACAGTAATATGCACAAACAGAAAATTGACAGTCGTGCTGCTGCCATTGTCTGAGAACCGACTGTAATGTCATAAATATATGTATGAGAACTTGTGGCTCTACCGTTTAGCCTTCAATATTTCCTCCCCAGTGCTTTAAAAGAATAATTATGCCCGCATAGCGTCTGAGAAAGAATATTATATCGGCTTTTTTATAAACTTGGATGTTTGCTCGTAACCCAGAGAAACTATGTTAAACAATCAAATCTGTGCTTACAGCTTCACATATCAATATTTCAATAAGCCTCATGAAAAATACATGCGCTCACACTAACCCGCAGCAGCAATGCATGCAGACATACGTGCAGATTTGCATTAAAAGGTGAAGCAATCGATCCTGCTGCATTATGAAGGATGGGTTTTCTTATTTCAGCAGTTTGTCAGCTCTTACCCGTCGTGGTTGTAAGAGGCCAGGACCACGCTGGGGCTGGAGTAGGCGTTGCTGGTGACCCACGTGCAGTGCACGGCGAACATCATCAGCAGCATCAGCATCAGCATGGTGACGATGGACTTGATGTTCGGACCCAAACCCTCCTCTGCCTTCTCCTGCTCGGACACATGCTTGCGCACCTTACCGGCCTGCAGGGGGAGACACGAGCCCTCATAACGGGAGGAAAACCATGACGCCTTCCACAGACATGAATTATTGAGTGGAATCAATTATTAATCCGACTAAATGAGAATAAAAAAAGTTTAGGATCTGCAACTTTTTTTTTGTACTGCGTGAAGAAACGACACAGAGTATTGTGCAAGATTCCTACAGCTTAAGGCAAATTAAATTTAAGACTTTTTAAGGATCCGCAGGAACCCTGTTGTGAGATGAATCCTGTGATGAGTTTATTTTATTTTTCAGCTGCAGAAAACGACAGAAGCAAAATGGGAAATATAAATATCTCCACTGGAGTCAGCTGAGACCAAACTGTTKGTATAACGTCAGGAAAGAGAATAAGATGAGCCAATATTGGCCAGTAATGCTAAACTTTCACAAACACAAATACTATAATTCCTATTACTACAGCATTAAGACTGAAAAAAACTGAAATTACACACTTAAACATCTACATGATTACAAATTTCTGATTTTATATTTAGAGACAGAGTGTGATAAATCACCAATATCTTGATTTAATGAGACATATTTGTAATTCTTTCTCTTCCAGAAGAGCCCATTATCTTGATTGGATCTCCTGAACAAATAAAGCTTAATTAAAAAGCTAAACTAAGTAAACAAAAGGACAAAGTTGTGCGGAGGAGGAAAAAGGATTCTGCACAGGCAGAACAGGATGAAGATTGTGGATGGTCTAAATTAAAAGACAAATTAATTTTGATTCACAAACTGATAACAGTGTTTATGTGTATGTATATATATATATATATATATATATATATATATATATATATATATATATGGGGTGTTATGTATTTCAGTTCTATACGACTATCAAGTTTGTTACCTTCAGTAGTTTTGAAAAAGCTGTATATTTCAAAACTAACAGGTTCAACAAGGTTTCAACACCTTGAAAATGGCCTCTGTCTCTTTAAGAAGCTCCTCCCATTACTGACACTCCCACTTCGGCACCTCTTCACAACTTTGCTTTGGGGGAGGGGTGCTCTGTGGGGCGGAAGCTCAGCTGCAGGCAGAGCTCCAGGGAGGAGCTCTGTGTAAAGGGGCGGAGCTTTGTGCCGGGAAGCATTTGGGCAGCTCCACATGGCTACCACAGGAGATTCAAGGATTTCTCAAACATCGAGTCAAAACAACACTCTGCTTTTTGATGAGGGAATGACAGTATAACACGATAAAGCTCAGAAACATCCATTTTGCATAACACCCCTCCTTTAAGACTTGCAGCATTTCTAATTTTCTAGGCATTCATGTGAGTCATTAGACATCTTGAGGAATTTAATCAGTGATGGAACTACGAGGACAGGAAGAACAACTGAAGTGATGCTTTTTGCTCATTGTTTGCTGTGATTGGAGGAGCTGCTTCAGAATCGAAGAAAGTGAGGAGGACAAAACTAAGCAAGCAGCCTCAAACAGTCRCAGCTGAGTCACTGTTGAATCACAGTTTGCTCAAACTGTCAGGAAGTGACAAGGGAAGCTGACAAATAACAGATCCAAAACCCCAAAGGTGCAGTGAAAGCGACAAAGACGTGAAAAACTGTTTCAGCTCCTGTCGTTTCATCAATCCGAACTTTTTTTTTTTATTATAAGAAATATTAAGCAGGTAAAAATCGGACCTATTCGATAACTTATTAGTGAAATGGGAGTGACTCCGCCCCCCTCTTGCCTTGTCGTAAAGATTCCCAGAGTTCCTCTTGTCGTCCTCGTCGCTACTATCCTCAGTAGGAGGTTTCTCCCTCTTCGTGTCGTCGCCCATGTAATGCTCGAAGACGCTGGAGAACGCCACGGCTGACAGCATGCACACCACCGGAGTCAGCGTCAGCATCAGCCGCACCATCACGCCGGCAAAATACACCGCGCTGATGGCGTACAGCGCCACTGCAAGACAGGAAACAGACGAGGTGCTGGATGAAACAGAGCAGATTAAAGGTCAGACGAAGACACAGACGACTGAAAGGCACAGTGTGTAGGATTTGTTGTTTTCAGCGACATCTAGTGGTTGAGTGGTTGAATCATCCTCCCTGGTCCTCCCCCCACCCCCACC